TTCCAGGAGTTTGGCTCAGTGTTTAGCTGTGGGTGTTTACTTCTGCTTCTATCAGCTGCTGGATGAAGCTCTAGGATAGCATATATGGTAGTCATCAACTATTATCAGGGAAAGGCATTTAAGGTAGCCTCTCCACTATCACTTAGATTGTTAGTTGGGGTCATCCTTGTAGATCTCTGTACAATTCCCTACTGCCAGATTTCTCTTTAAACCTATTAAACCTATTAAGGTATCTCTTGCTCTCCTTTATTCTTCCCTGGACTCAGTCTTCCTGCCCCCTGTTCTCCTCACTCCTCTTCTTTTCTCCTAATACCTTCTCTCCTCCCAACCACTATATTCCCAATTTGCTCAGGATATCTTATCCATTTCCCCTTTTCTGAGGGACCCTGCATGTCTCTCTTACAGTCCTAGCTTCTCTAGTGGTGTGGATTGTAGGCTGGTAATATTTTGCTCTATGTCTAAATCCATATATGAGTGAGTACATACGATGTTTGTCTTTTTGTGACTGTGTTACCTCAATCAAAGGTACAAGATTCCATTGTATTTTTTCCAGTGATTATTACTGCATTATGTAAATGTGTGTCATTTTCTTTACCCATTCTTTATTTCTTTACCCTTCTAGTTGAGGGACATCTAGTTTTTTCCAGGTTCTGGCTATTACAAATAATGCTGCTATGAACATAGTTGAACAGATGTCCTTGTTGTATAAATGTGCATTCTTTGGGTATATGCCCAAGAGTGGAATTGGTGGATCTTGAGGTAGACAGATTCCCATTTTCCTGTGGAACCATAATACTGAATTCCAAAGTGGCTCTACAAGCTTGCACTCCCACCAGCAGTGAAGGAGTGTTCCCCTTTAGCCATCATAATCTGTCTTTGGTGCTTTTTATTTTAGCCATTATGACTGGTGCAAGATGGTGTCTCAGAGCTAATTTGATTTTCATTTCCCTGATGGCTAGCGAGGTTGAGAACTTTCTTAAGTGTCTTTCACCCATTTTAGATTACTCTATTGAGAATTTTCTATTTAGTTCTGTACCCCACTTTTTAATTGGATTGTTTGGTGTTTTGGTGACAAGCTTCTTGAGTTCTTTGTATATTTTAGAAACCAGATCTCTGTTAGATATGGAGTTGGTGAAGATCTTTTTCTATTCTGTGGGCTGTGGTTTTGTCTTGTTGACTGTGTCCTTTGCCTTACAGAAGCGTCTCAGTTTCAGGAGGTCCCATTTATTAATTGTCAATCTCAGTGTCTATTCTACCTCCTTTATGTTCAGGAAGTGGCCTACTGTACCAATTCGTTTAAGGGTATCTCCCACTTTATCTTTTAAGAGGTTTAGAGTGGCTCGGTTTATTTTTAGGTCTTTGATCCATTTGAACTTAAATTTTTCATTGCAATGCATATGGAAATATCTGCTATCTTCTCAATGTCAGCATCCAGTTATGTCAGCACTATTTGTTCAAGATGCTTTCTTTTTTCCATTGTATAATTTTAGCTTCTTTGTCAAAAATCATGTGTTTGTTTGTGTGTGGGTTAATATCAGGGTTTTCAATTCAACTTCATTTTCCTACCTGTCTATGTTTGTGACAATATGAAGCTGTTTAAATTACTGTATCTCTATAGTAGAGTTTGAAGTCAAGGATGGTGATGTCTCTGGAAGTTCCTTTATTGTAGAAGGTTGTTTGGCTCTCCTGGGACTTTTGATTTTCCTTACCAAGTTGAATATTGTTCTTTCAAGATATGTGAAGAATTATGCTGGAATTTTGATGGGGATTGCATTGAATCTGTAGATTGCTTTGGCAAGGTTGTCATTTTTACTATGTTGATCCTACCTATCCAAGAACATGGGGATCTTTCCATTTTCTGGTATCTTCTTTAATTTCTTGCTTAAAGACTCAAAGTTCTTGTTATACAGGTCTTACATTTGTTTGGCTAGAGTTACTCCAAGATATTATTTGGTGTTTGTGATTATTATAAAAATGATGTTTCTCTGATTACTTTTTGAACCCATTTATTGTCTATATATAGTAGGGCTACTGATTTTTTGTGTTAATCTTGTATCCTGCCATTTTACTGAAGTTGTTCATCAGGTGTAGGAATTCCCTGGTAGAATTTTTTGTGTCACTCATATAAAGTATCATAACATCTGCAAATATTGAAAGTTTTTCTTCCTTTCCAATTTATATCCCCTTGATCTCCTTTTGTTTTCTTATTTCTCTAGCTAGAACTTCAAGTACATATTGAAGAGATATGGAGAGAGTGGACAGCCTTGTCTTGTTCCTGATTTTAGAGGAATGCTTTGAGTTTCTCTACATTTAGTTTGATGCAGCTGTTGGTTTGCCATATATTGCTTTTATTGTCTTATGTATGTTCTTGTTATCCCTGATCTCTCCAAGACCTTTATACTGAATGGGTATTAGCTTTGTCAAAGGCTTTTAAAGCACCTAGTGAGATGGATCATGTGGTTTTTCTTTTTCAGTTTGTTTGTATGGTGGATTACACTGATGGATTTTCATATGCTGAACCATCCTTGCATCTCTGGGATGAAGTCTACTTAATCATGATGGATGATTTTCGGGATTTGTTCTTGGATTCGACTTGCCAGTATTTTATTGAGTATTTTTGCAACAATGTTCATGAGGGAGATTGATCTTTAATTCTCTTTCTTAGTTGTGTCTTTTTTGTGGCTTGACTATCAATGTAATTATAGCCTTATAAAAAAAGTTTGGCAGTGACCCTTCTGCTTCTATTTTGTGAAACATTTTGAGGAGTATAGTATTTGCTCTTCTTTGAATTTCTAGTCGAATTCTGCACTGAAACCATATGGTCCTGGGCTTTTTTGGTTGGGAGAGTTTGATGACAGCTTGTATTTCATTAGGGGTTATAGGTCTATTTAAATTACTTATCTGTTCTTGACTTAATTTTGGTAAATTATATATGTCCAGAAAATTGTCCATTTACTTCAGATTTTTGAATTTTGTGGAGTACAGGTTTTCAAAGTATGACATGATGATTCTCTGGATTTCCTCAGTGTCTGTTGTTATGTCCCCTTTTTCATTTCTGATTTTGTTAATTTGCATGTTCTTTCTCTGCCTTTTGGTTATTTTGGATAAAGGTTTGTCTATCTTCTCAATTTTTTCTAAAAACCAACTCTTTGTTTCATTGATTCTTTGTATTGTTTTCTTTGTTTCTACTTTATTTATTTGAGCCCTCAAATTGATTATTTTCTTGCATCTCCTCTTCTGGGTTATGCTTGCTTCGTTTTGTTTTAGAGCTTTCAGGTGTGCTGTTAATTCTCTAGTGTGACTATTCTCCAATTTCTTAATGTGGGCACTTAGTGCTATGAACTTTCCTCTTAGCACTGCTTTGAGAGTATCCCATATGTTTTGGTATTTGTGCCTTCATTTAGAAATTCAGACAGTCTTAGGCTTGGACTAGAAAGCTATATCCCACCAAAGTGAAAAATCTAAAAGAAACAGATACATACAAATCAAATTGAAATAAACAATTCAAATGGACTCATAGCATCCAATGAGATGGGAGAAGACATTAAAATTCTCTTACTACCATAGGCCAGGAGGAGGTGAATTCATTGCATAATTCTACCAGAGCTTCAGAAAATACTTCTCAAATTATTTGGTAAAATAGAAAATGATAAAATATTTCCAAAAATCTTTCTACAATGTTGGTATTGCCTTAAAACCAAAACTATGAAAAGCACAAATAAAAGAAAGAAATAATGGAATCGAGAGAGAGAGAGAGAGAGAGAGAGAGAGAGAGAGAATTATAGATTATAGGCTAACATCTCTGATGAACATGGAGAATATATTTTGTCAATAAAACATTTGTAACCAAATTCATAATGCATCAAAGATATTATCCAATATGATCTAATTAATTTAATCCCAGAGCTTCCATGGTTCACCATATGGAAATCAATAAATGTATATAATTTCATTATGTTTTTAATGTAACTTATCATTTTGACTTACATTCTTTTGAAACATGTATGACATCAAAAATCTGCAAGATGCACAAGGAGAAAGCAAGGATTTTATTTCTTAATTACATGATGTCTTTAATTAAAAATGAACTATTTTTGCTAGTCTTTTGACTCTCTCTTTAATCCTGCCTGTCATTTCTGCTCAAATCCACCGTTTTGGTATTTTGGTATTTTGGTATTTGGTATTTTGAGGTACTGGTCACCAGGAGGGTGCTCAGAACTTAAATTTTGTTCTCTCAAACAGCAGCAAGAATTTTGAATGCAGAACTATCTTTCTAGCAGTGACCTTATTATACTTTCAGTCTACTTTTCAAATACTGTATTTCCTTTCAATGAAACAAAATATATTGTTTTAAATGTTGAAATGAGAAAAGGGAAGTCTCTTTCACTACCCCAATGCTGTTTCTCTCTCTTGGAATTAACTATATAACAAAAATTTTCATTTCATTTAGTAATGCAGACAAATTCACATGGAAGTGGCTGTTATTGAGTTCACACATTACTCTCATGTAACTATGAGGACTTCTCCCTATATTTATTCTTCTTATATTAGAAGTCATCTGCAGGGTTGCCATTTCCTCCTTCCTTGGATCAACACTTGCTTTGGTTACTTATTGTGGCTGCAGATCTTCCAGGTGTACACTCTTCTATTTAAACCCCAGTGTTATGTGGTAATTAGGCATTCCAGTAAGAAATAATACTGCTGCAAGTACTAGAAATTTTGGGTTTATAAAATATTTTCCCATTCATATACCAGATTATCAAAAGTGTAAAATATGGTGTAACAGATATGATTTATTCTTATTTAATTGGTGAGGGTGAGGTCATCCCAAGTTTAAGGTTAACATGATACATTGATTCTACATAAATGGATGCTTAGCTGTTAGGAAAATTGTAGATAATATATGGTTTAAAACTTCTAAAGAATCTTTACCTATAAAGAGCAAAATATTGTCTTTGTATATTTTAATGGTATTTCTCCAATTGTTTTTAATTCTCCAGGCTCACCATGTGATCCCACCTTGATCTTGGGCTGTGCCCCCTGCAATGTGATCTGCTCAATTATTTTTCAGAATCGTTTTGATTATAAAGATCAGGATTTTCTTACCTTTATGGCAAAAATAAATGAGAATATCAGGATTCTGAGCTCGCCCTGGTTGCAGGTAAAGTAAAGATCGTTTCCTTCTGGGAACAGCCTTATAGTCTTTCATTCTTACAGGTCAAATTCAATATGGACCAAGAAGTGAGGTGACCAGATACCATGGTTCTGAAAAACATGTTATAGAAAGAATATCTGGAAGGCAGGTCTAAGCCCTTTGCTGTACAAAGAGCAAAACTAAAGGGCAAATTCCAGGTTGGCCCATTTCCAATTGATGTTCACAGAACTGTTTGTATAAAATATTTTATTCATTTTTAGAAGTGTTGCCAGTTGTTCACAGGACATTATTCTGTAATAATTCTTATACTGTTTTCTATTATTAAACATATATACCCTCATCAATTACCAGGCAGGAATATTTTAGTTTAGAAAGAATATTCTCTTAAAGGATAAAGATTATTAATGGCAATGAAATTTGCCAGGAAAAACTGAGCAGTTTTAGTCGTTTGATGGATCAGCTGGAATCATAGTTGACAAACAGACAGGTAGAAAGGAGAAGATGACTGGTCTAATGATCTGTGGACCACATCCATCTTCTCAAAGGTGTCCTAGGCAGAAGTGGCACCTCCTAAACTCTCTATAAAGAATGGTTGTGGTCTGGGCACTCAGGGAAACAAGGCCTCAGACAGTCAGACACTACTATGTTAAGTAAATGTCAGGTGTGGTATAGGAAAAACAGAGAGTTAAAATGGTTCATGTCCTGTGGAGAGAGACACAGCTGAAGAAGTGAAGAGGTGTAGAGAGGGCTGAGGTGGGTGGCTTGATTACCACCAAGGGCCAGGGTGATGTCTGGTCCTCGACTGCTGCCAAGGCACACGTCTGGGTTCATGGCCCTGTTGAAGCCTTGTTCTGTGTTGATGTCCATAGCTCCTGATACAACTGAAGGTCAAGAGGAAAGGGCTGTACAGGGTTGGTCCTGGCACTCACTGGCTGCAACACTAGGGAGAGTGGGCCCCATATTTCCTCTGAGAGGCACAGTGGAAATGATGTGGTTGAAGGGCTGTGGAGCCCACCCAAAGAATGTGTGCTTCGGGGATCTGACTCCAGCCTTCATCTGCCATATGGTGTCTTGAGTGGGGAAGAACTTCCCCCTCCCTCCACTACTTGTGGCAGGGGCTACAGCTATCCCTGAGGTCATAATAGCAGGGGAGCTCCCCTTGCTGCCACCACTGAAGATTGCAGGAGAGCAGACACTGCACCTTGCCTGGGCAGCACAACAGAGCCAACAGTGTCCCCAGGGGTGCAGGTAACTCAACCCTGAAGTTCTGAGTGTGGGAGAGCTGGCCCTACTACCTGTCTGTCATGTGGTGGTGCGATTAGGAGAGATATCTCCTTTATCCCCAGCTCCTCACCACCTGAAGCAGATGAGGGAGCTGACCCTTCCCCTTCCCAGCTGCAGCACTCAAGAAAGCAGGCCCTGTTCCTAGCCTGGGCCGCAATGTAGAGCTGACCCACTTGGCAGAGGCACAGGTGAGCTGGCTTCCAGGGTGTGAGAATAGGGATGCTGACCACACCTCTTCACCTGCCATGTGGTGGTAAGGGTGAGGGAAAGATGCCCTCCTCACCTTGCTGCTGTCACCTGTGGTGGGTGAGGTAGCTGACCTTCCTCCCAGGCACTTGGGAAAATGGGCCCTGCACCTCCCCTGGGCAGTAGAGTAGAGCTGACCCTATTGACCACATTGATTGGTGCTGGGGGCAGAGTGTGAACAAGCCTAGAGGATGAGAACAAGGGAGATATGGTCACTCTTCTCATCTGTTTCCTGATGGTATGGGTGGGGATAGATTCCCTACCCTCCCTTGCAGCCTGTGGCACATAGTAGGGCTGTCCCTCTAGTCATCTGAGTGGTAGAGTTGTTCCTGCCCTTCACCACTTGCAGCATTTGGAAGAGTGGCCCCTACACCTTGCCTGGGTAACACAGTCTATCTGCCCCTGATGGTGTACAGGTGGAAGAGCCAACTCTGGGGGCATGAAAGAAGCTCATTGCTGTAAGTGGTAAACCTGCCAGGGTAATGCCAGAGAGCTCACCCTGGTCATGAGGTCAGGGGGAGATTTGGAGGGATGGCCATCATAGCAACTACCCAGACCCAGAACTAGGGTTATGAGTAGATGCATCTCAACATCCACCCCATCTGTGATCTGCTGGAAACATCAGGGGCTGCTCCTGCAGGCCCAGGGCTACAAGATCTTCACAGTGCAGGGCAACAACAGGATATCCCAGTAAGGACCTGGTATTGAGATTATAATAGAAACCAGAGGCCTCGAGCCAGACCAATTACTCCTTGAAGTGACCACTTGCAAGTAAAGATATATGGATAAAGGGGTTTACTGTGTGACTCTCTGTCATATTGCAACCTCCATCATGACATATTTTGTCTTAAATTTATTTTATTTGTTGGGGCTGTAGGGGCCGAGAGAGGATGGGAAGGGATGCTGAGGTAGATGGGATAAACATGTACAGTGTGAGGGGCACAAAGTATAAATTAAAGGCAAGTTAAAAAAAGAATGGCTGTGATCATAGAGAAACCCCCAATGGCTGTGCTGTACTTTGCTTTCAGAACCTCCTGGAGCCTCACCCACTTCATTCCATGGTATAGGCCAGTTTACAGGAGTTTAAAGGGCATGTGCTACATTTTGTGCTATAAATCACGGTGCCTGTCTCTCTTCACTGCTGGTATCATCTAAGACCTGTAAATGACAATGACTTACATCATATCCTATTACATACTTGAGGGAATAAATGGAATAAGCCATCAGTCAACTTTCATAATTATGCTTTATACTAAAAAGGATTCATGAATGTGGAAACATGATTATGATCTTTATCATTAGGTCAGGAAGCCAGAGAATTGATACACACATGAAATAAATCACCTCTTTCTTTTGTGGGACACTATTTTCATTCACTATTTTCAATCTATAAACCCAGTGGGTCTTGCTATATATTATGGATATATGTATTTCCTCATATCTGTTCCTTTAAAAATTTTTTGGCAATGACTGGAGAGATGGATCAGTGGTTAAGAGTGTGTGCTGATCTTTGTGATCTTCCAAAGGATCTGATTCCAATTTTTATCATCCATGTTAGGTGCCTCAAAAACACCAGCTTCCAGGGATCTGATATCTTTGGCCTCCAAGGCACCCACACATACATGGCACATACATGTATGCATGCATATATATATACTACACACACTGCTAAATGTAAAACAGTACATATTCTCAGAATTTTCTTTGATTTTGTAGGTCTGCAATAATTTCCCTTCATTAATTGACTATTGTCCAGGAAGTCATCACACAATAAGAAAAAATGTCAATTATCTCACAAGTTTCGTTTTGAAGAAAATAAAAGAACTCCAGGAATCATTGGATGATGCAAATCCTCGGGACTTTATTGATTATTACCTGATTAAATTAAAGCAGGTAAGATGTTAATATAAATTTATATTATTGTTTGAGCATTTTGTGGCTTGTTGAACACCAATGTATTTATCAGAGATGGTTTAAGTCAGTTATAAAATAAAAAGTAAAGACCCAGTGACTTTTACTGAATTTCAAACTTCAAGCTGAATATCAGAATGTCAAAGCAGCTGGCCACTAGCTTCTTACCTCTACCTCAGCTGAATGGACTGATCCTATCTCCACTAGCTGGAGCAGCTGTATTCATCAACCAATAAGAGAAACATATATTCAGAGCATACAGAAGGACATCCCATCATCTCCCCTTTTCTGTCTAAATAAAAAGGAAAGTTTTAATTTTTAACATAGTAAAATTATATATGACAGACTGTTATCATTCTAAGAATTATGCTTACAACATTTAGTCCACTATTATTTGGAAACACTTAATGAAAATATTCTATCATCTATCCTATCTTTGTGAGTCAAAACTTTTTTTTTAAATTTTCAGAATTTATTAGAAAGTTATTCTAGCCTGATAAACTCTTTTGTTTTCTAGACTATAATAATAGCCTTTCATTTGTTTCTTCTATGATTTAACTTGAACGTCACTTCCAAACTTTCCATTTGAATGTCCTCCATATCTCAGCTTCATGAGGAAGAAACCTTGGTAGGCAAATACAATCACTCTTCTTCCTTACACAGACTCTGGTCAAAACTTTTATATGTAACATCTTTCATCATAATTAAGAAAAACCATAACCATAACTATCTGTCTTCAACTCCATCAATGACCCCAGAGAGAACTTTGCCCACATCCACATTCTTACATAGTGTTAATAAATGTTTGTCTTCATTTAAATGGGGTTGGTTATAAATAGTTAATGATCATGGTTAGTCTCTATCTAAATAAAAAAGCAATATGTTGTAGAAATGAATACTTTGCATCGCTATTGATTTTGCATTATTGATAAAATTTTAAGTTGTTTTTGATACATGTATATTACCACTCTAAGTATTGTGTTTATACAGCATATTTAAAATGCTATATTTGGTCAAATACAGATTATAGTCATTCAAATAGTTATGTTAATTAGATTTTCTAGATATACAAAGATATATTTCAAATGGATAGGTATTCTTCAAAACTTTTCAAAGACCTACAGACTACGGCATTTAAAATGGTTTATTAGGGTTTTTCACAACAATGAGACAAAGTGCTCCTGGCTATACCACTTAGCTGCAAAGAAAGGAGGTAGTACTGCCTTCTTGCACTTGCATAAAATCTTGGACATTCATGCAAATTCATTGTGTCTCAGGAGTTTTTCATTTCTTTGCAACAAAATTCACTGTCACAATTTAGTACCACAATGTACTTAATCCTCATGGATGGTTTTTATGTTATTTCTACCTGTAGTTCCATATATATATGTATGTATGTATGTATATGTACATATATATGTATGAAGTTTTGTGAATCAACTGATAACACCTTTTTTCTTTACCAACTGCTAATAAATTCACATTAACATACCATTTTGTAGGCTTGAGATCCAAAGAGGTGCCAAAAGTTATAATTTTGAAACTTTATTATCAACTCAGTGAGTGTGAAGTGGTACCTCAGGGCAGATTTGATGAGTATCTTTTAAATAAACAGTGAAAATAGACATCTTGTTAGGTGCTGTTTTGCCTTTTCTGGTATATGAGATTTTTTATTCAAATATTTTTCCATTGGATTGCTTGATGCGTGTGTGTGTATATAGATACTATCCTTTCCATATAAATGACATGGAAATATATTTACATCCTGTGTGTTGTCCTTTTCACATTCTTAATTATGTCCTGAATGTGTTAACTTTTGTCATGGATGAAGTCTGGTTTATGTGGGTTTTTATTTGGTACATTGTTCTGAAATCTATGAGTCCAAATCACAAGGAATGAGGCTTATCCCTATTTTACTTTTCTAGTATGCATTTCTTCATGTAATCATATTGCTGGTTCTGTCATCACTTGCTGAAGACCCCCCCTTTAAATGGAGCAATCTTGGAACTCAGTTGTCAATCTTGGCCATGGATGTTTAGGTTAACTCCTGGCTATCGAAAATTTGATGCTGGTTTGTTTGTCAACACCTCACTACTTTCATCACTGTAGCACTTCAATAAGATTTATTAAACAATTGCTTTATGTTTGATATATCTGTTTTAATTTATTTTGAAATATTTTGTTTATTATTTGAGAATCTCATATGCAATATGAGCATGACTCTCAACTTTCTTTATCCTCCTCTCCATCCTCGCATCTCTTCCTATCAAACATTGTCATTTCTTTTTTTCCCTTCTCTTCACCACTGAGTCCAGTTTCTGTTGCTCGCCTAACCTCAGGCCTGACATATGATCAACATACCAGGGCGCACAACACTGAAGAAAATTGATATTCCCCTTCCCAGAAGCTAATATGTTAGAGGCTGGATTTCCTATTTCCTTTCCCCAGTTTGTACTGGGTTTTTATCGGTTGAAGCCTACACAGTTTTTGTGTAGGCTGAAACAGTCAGTGCAAGTTTTTTATGTTCATCTGTCCTTTTGTGTCCAGAAAACACTGATTCCTTGATGCTATTGATCACTGATGGATTCTTAACATTTATGGCCCCCCTTCTACAAAGATATTTCAGTCTTCTGAGGAGGCATGTTTCATGATTTAGGAGTGAGCATGACACAATACTTTATTCTCTGCACATTGAGCAGCTCAGTGTCTCAGTATTAATTGCCATCTTCTGTAAGGAGAAGTTTCTCTGACTGAAAAGTAAGAGAGTTCTCATCTATGGATATAGTAGTACATCATTAGGAATCATTTAACACTATTACTGTTAGTCCATTATACTAATATATTTGGCCACTAATTCTAACATCCTTTAACCATGGCAGATACAGTGGTTACCTACCTAAAGAGGTGGGCCTTAGATTTAATCATAAAGTAGTTGTTTGCTCTCATGAAATTGGTGTAACTATTGCACTAGTGGACATTAGTTTTCAGGCCTGGCATTGTTGTAACCTGCAGGATTTCAGCTGGGTGAGATTGAGAATAACTTTTCTCTACCAGTAGCACGCATGTCACATTTCAGCATCACAAATGTTAACCAATAGGGATGAAGCTTTTTGATGAGTAGCAGATTGATTTCCTCCTGTTCTGTGACTGAAATATATAGTATCAACAAAATTGGGTTTTACTGTCAAGTTCTGGAGAGTAACCAAGTTATTGCCAATAACCTGTGTTACTTAAGGATACATGTGGCTCTATTGGCCAATGGCTCAAAGGATGTAATCTTTTACTGGTCCTGGGGCATATATCACAAGATGAGAACTACCACACATTCTTCTTTACATGATTTTTATAGGAGAAAATAAAAAAATGAATAAATGTTTCCTTTATTATTTTTAAGACATAAGTGTACAAAACTGTATACACTTATGTGCAGATAATCACATCAATGTAAGAGTTAGACTAGTAAGGAATTAGGGTGAAATTGAAAGTTAAAAACATCTGTGCCATTGTCTTTGAAATAATATACTAATTACTCCTCTACTCTACATCACAGGAACTTTGTTGGCAACACTATAAAACAGAAATTTTGTAGAAGTCTTATTATAAAAAACTTGTACATAAATAAAACATCAAATCAAATTAAATAGACACAAAGTCTATACTACTCAGTAAACTTATCCTGTATAGATAGAATAACCATTTGGAATGGAATCCATGGAATTTTACTTTAAATTTTATACTTTCAGTAACAAAATATAAGCTTGTGTAAAACTGCAAAGCCATTGTAAGCAGATGCACTAATAAATTATTCATCAAATTATTGCATCAAATTATTCTTAGTCAAACCACAATCAAGAATCTGAATTTTCACTTGAAAATCTGGCAACCACTGTGAGGGATCTGTTTGCTGCTGGGACAGAGACAACAAGCACAACCCTGAGATATGCTCTCCTGCTCCTGCCGAAGCACCCACATGTCACAGGTAAGGACACAGGTGGTGAACCACAGTGTTCCTATATGATGATAGAAAGACACTTCTAGTGTCATGTGTGTTGCTATTCTTAGAGAAGTCTCAGAGCTTCACCTCCTGTGCCACTCAGTGATTTTAATGAAGAGCATGACTAAGAGAGACTCTGGCTGTCTGAAAAGCAATGAAATTCTGCTTAGTGTCTGAGTTCTCTTGAAGGTAAACGGCTACAGGGATGGCCAGGGTACATTGTCCTGTGGATACATATTCTTCTATTCTTAAAAGCCATGTGTTTAGATCAGCTAAAATCTTTCAGCTCCCTTTCCTCATTTGGATGAAATGAACTTTGGAGTGGAGAAAAGGTAACTCATCTCACTGAAGCAGAAGCAGAAAGCCTAGAATTTTCTGAGACTAGCTGAGATAATGTGCATTTTGAGAAGTATCCAAAATATTTAGATTCTCTAAAAACATTTTTCATTGGTGCACAAAATGTAGATTAAGGAATTTTATCACTTTAGAAGTCCATTTCCTTAAACTTCTGTTAAACAATTATTTATTTCAACCATACCAATATTGTTTCCTTTTACATTGTACTTTAAAAAACAGCTCCAGTGTTCCAGCATATATGAAACACACCTTCCTCCTGTGCCCAATATATACTGCATGGTAAAAACACAAATATGAAAGAAAATGTGTATTTTTAGGATAGGAAGAGATAGCAATAAGCTGCCAAGAAGGCTTCACCAAATTAATGAAACCACAGTATGAGGAATAAGAAAAAAATAGAGGAGGAACTATGATATTGAAACATAAATGTTAGATGAACATGCATGTAGTAAGAAAAACAACCCATGAATCTGCATGTACAGGCCCCTCAAGACTCTTGTTCTAAAGCAATGGAATTTTAATAGAGAACAATGATGTATACAGGATGCTGGACTTGCTCAAGTTTCCTTCCCATTCCCATTCAGCAGGTGACCCCCCTCCAGGAAAATAAATTCTTAAAAGAATCTAAGTCAAAGAAGCTCTTTACCTGACATATTGATGATTGACAGGGAATGAGAAATGCATAGGGATGAAAGCAGATGCCGACAACATTTGAGTCCCCGAATTCTGCATGTCAGAGCCCTTTCTGTTTCTTATTCCACGTATGTAAGCAGCAGGGTCTATCCTCCAGATAAAAGGACTAAATCAGCATGTCTTATTTTACCACCTTAATAGAAAGTATTTTTCATGTATTAATCAGAATGGATTCAAAACAACCAACTAACAGACTCATAGAGTTTTAAGACTGAATAGAAGCATGAAACCCTTCAGGGAGTTCCCTCAGTTACATGTAAACTGTTCTCATCAAGACTACACCAGAATTCTCCAGATCTGCTGGCTTCTAGTAAGTTTATAAAATACAAGACAGATGAGAGCTCTGGGTTTGCCATAGATTTATCCAATTTTCCATTTCTTCATGATACTTGTGTGAAAGTTTTTTTTTTTCATCCTAATATCTGAAGTAAAATCACAGGAAGTCAGGGGCTCCGGGTATCTGAATGGCTCTTGAGGGAAGGTGAGATTATCAGAGATGTTGCTGGGGACCAGGTCTGAGAAGCTCCAAATTCAGTATTTACCATGTAAGTGCTGTAGCAGTTTTACCAAAAGAGTGAGAGATGAAAGAGAAACAATTTGTAGTATAATGCTCCTTTTAATTGAGTGTGTATTCCCAATTTTTAAAAATACCTACTTAAATTTCCAGTAGAATTCTAACTCAAGAAATGGAAAATTACAAAAAATGTATCCATTTATCAAAAAACTGCTAATAATGGAAATAATCATAATTTTTATAATGAATAATATTTATGCAATTATAATTAATCTAACAATGGATATTGTTACAACAAAGTGTTAAAATCCAATCCTCTATTTCCCCTTTTCATTGAAAATGTTTTTTCTTGCCTAGTGTGTTAGGATTATGGTTTCCCCTCCCTTATTCCTTCCTGTTCCTCCCCATCTCCTCTCACATCCAGATGCCCTTGTTTTCTGTCTCTCATTAGATAACAATTATGATTCTAAATAATGATACGTAATATAATACAGTATATGTAACATGACACAAAAAACAACACATCAGAATTGGACAAAACAGGAAAAAACACAACAGAAGGCACAGGAAAAAGACACTCAATCATTTATACATCAATAAATCACATGTAAGCACTAAACTGGAAACCATACTCTATGTGTGTAGGACCGTGCAGACCTACACAGGCCCTGTGCATGCTGCCTCAGTTTCTGTGAGTTCAAACGTCCTTTGATTATTTTGACTTTAGAGGACGTTTTTCTTAATATCCTCCATCATCTCTGGTCCTTACACTTTCTGCCCCCTATACCACAGGGTTCCCTGATCTCTGAGGTGAGGGATTTGATGGAGACATTCATTCCATTTATGGCTAAATATTTCGAGGTGTGTCACACTCTACATAATGTCTGGTTAAGAATTTCTGTTTTTGTTGCCATCTGCTGCAAGGTAAAGCTTCTCTAAGATGGCTGAGCAAGACACTGATCTATGAGTATAGTAGAATGTCATTAAGAGTCATTTAATTGCTTTGTTTTTGTTGTTTGTTTTTTATTTTTGAAAAGAAGTATTTGTTTTTATCATAAGTTCCTGGGCTCTCTAGTATCCCATTATTGGCCAACCAAGCAATTTCAGAAATGGGTTTAATAGCACGGGGTGGGACTTAATTCAAATCAATTCTTGGTTGGTTACTCCCACAAGTTTTGTGCCACAATTGCCCTATCATATCTTGAAGGCATGACACCATGTTGATCAAAGGGTTTGTGGCTGGTTTGGTGTTTATGTTTCTCTTTTGGTAGCATGCAGAGTACATTCTTGTACTAAGATACTGGAACATAGAGGTGAAGGTTCTATATAGGCATCAGTTGACTTCTCCATCTTTATAGTGTTGTCTAGGTGTTACTTCAACAATGGGTTCTTGTTTGTGGAGAGCAACCCAATGTCTTGGCCACAGTCTTGGTGGTTTGGAGATTTCACAGAATGCTCTTGATCAACAACTTAATTAGATGTAACCTAACCCTAGTACTAGAAGTTTCATTTGATGACAAGGGATGTTCAGTTGGGGCTCTGTCTCCTAAATATTTGTCTATTTCATTTAGAACACCTTCATATATGTTTCAAATATATACTTTGAAAGTTTCTACTATATTAAGTTTCCATACTATCCCTCAAATGGCCCTGTATTCCCTCCTGCATCCCTGTCTCTCTTTCCCAATTAATTCCCCTGCATACTTCCATAGTTATCAATTCTACCTCCCTTTCCTGACAAGATCTCTCTCTCCTCCATAGTCACTTACTTACATTGACCCTCTGTGGTTCTACAGAATGCAGCTTGTTTATCATTGATTTAACAGCTAATATTCATGTATTAGTGGATACATACCATATTTGTCTTTCTGGTTCTGGATTATATCTCTTGGTGATTTTTTTCTTTTTTCATCCATTTACCTGAGGATTTCATGATTTTATTCTTTTTTAATGGATGAGTAATACTTCACTGTTTAATGTGTCACATTAAAAATCAATCTATCCTGCTGTTTAGTGACATATTAATTGTTTCCAATTCCTGAATATTATGAATAAAGCAGCAATGAGCATGGCTGAGCAAGTGTTTCTGTGACAGGATGAAGCAACTGTATGCCCAAGAGTAGTTTCACTGTAACTTTGATGCAGATTGATTGACAACTTCCAAACTTACTGTCACACTTTTATCTGAAGTGGCTGTACAGGTTTGCATTCCCACCAACAATGCATTAATATTCCTTTAGATCCTCATCCTCAAGAGAATAAGATGTTACTTTTTAAAAACTGATATTCTCCATTCTGTTGGGTGTAAGATGAAATATCAAATACTATTATTTGCATTTCTATGATGACTAAGGTTTTTGATTATTTTTCTAAGTTTCTTTAAGATTTTCTCAGCCATTTGAGTTTCATCTTTTGAGAATTTTCTGCTTATATCTCTACCCCATTTATTATTTGGATTATTTGTTTTCTTGAAATCTTGGTTTTTGAATTCTTTATATATTTTGGATATTAGCCTCTTGGATGTATAGCTGGCAAAATATTTTCATTCTATAGCCTGCTGCTTTTGTCCTAATGATAGTGTCTTTTGCTATACAGAAGCCTTTCAGTTTCATGAGGTCCCAAAATGTTTTTGGTAATGAGGAAAGAGGAAGGCTGTATGTGTTTTGCATGTATTTGTTCCTATAGATGATGTAGATATAATTGAAAATTTCATTTTCCATATCTGAAAGTCATAAATATTATACATATGTGGGCATATAAGAAACCATCATTTTACAAATATCAATATATTTCAGAAGTTGTTGAAGAGGTTGAACTTGTTCAATATGGGGTGTGAGTAGAAAAGAATAGTCTTTTAAATTGTACACATGCAACACATACTCACACATGCTGATAAGTAAACATACATTAGTATGTGACTGTAACAGAATATTGTATTTAGATAGAGATTTAATATCTGACTTCTCATGTCCTTCACCACAGACTTAAGCATGTTGATTATATTGTTTTACTTGATGCTTCTAATTACTTATACATTATAGCCATCATGACTACTAAATAATAAGTATATATTGACATATCATAATATCTATGTAGAAAGATAGTGATATAAACCCAGAACACAGAATTTCTGTATAAATATATGTATAAATGCTTTTACCATCGAAAGAAATAATGAACATTTATAATTCTTTTGGAACCCCTATATTATTCTGTGTATGGCATGACCCTGTACCAAACATGTCACTGTTCTTTTTTTCCTGTTTCAAATATAAATTACTAAATAATGTTGTTATTTTATTCATAGTGCTTTGTGCATATCTAAAATAAAACAATTTTAAATTATGAAAAACATGCAATAACCAATATTCTGATGAAGTAACAGGTAGCAATCCTATTTTTGATGCTACACTATAAAAATGATAAAAGAGGAATAATGTAAAATTCCTAGCCAGGTGATGAAATGAAGTAAAGTTTTTCTTTAGGTTTAAATCCTGGTTTACAAAAATAGTTAATAAGATGTAAATGTTAGAAGAATATTTTTGGCTAGCTTTAAGGATTAGCAAGAATTAGATACAGAAAACCATCCATAAGAAGAGAAAATGGGATACAACAAGGTGAAAAACATTCTCAATAGATTAGGGATATGCAGATTCCAAGAATCAGCAGGGTCTGTCAAAATACATACTCACTTTAAAATGACAGAACATGAAGGAAAAGAAGAGAAATGCTGGTGAAGAGAGAACCAACATAAAATGGTTGAAATACCATGGGCCCTGTAAAATGCAAGAGGGCTAAAACCAGATTTACAAGTCTAGTCAAGTAAACAGTCAAGTAAATGAATGGTTTAAAAACAAAAGAAATATCTTAAATGGTAACTTTTCTCTTTCAAAGCAAGAACTGATTCCAGCCATAGATGACTTAAAAAATTAGATTGTTTGATTTGTTAATCATTTAAACTAAAAAAATAAAATACGTTTGAATATTTCAAAGTATATTCATTGGGTATTTGCTTAACTGAAAATCAAAGTTATTAGGGTATTGAATTCTATTACTAACATTATTATTATAAAATTACATGGGAGGTGACCATTTCTCAAGTTGCAGATATCATTTACAATATGTCTATATAGAAATGGTCAATGTGTCACGTTTCTATTCCCCCATTTTTTACTGTAACCAACCAGCTAAAGTCCAGGAAGAGATTGATCAAGTGCTCGGCAGAGACCGAAGCCCCTGCATGCAGGACAGGAGCCGCATGCCCTACACAGATGCCACGATTCATGAGGTCCAGAGATTCATAGACCTGGTCCCCACCAACCTGCCCCATGCGGTGACCTGTGACATTAAGTTCAGGGACTACTTCATCCCCAAGGTAAGCTTGTTTCTTCTCTGCTGCTCCTGTGTCCTCTTGATGCTCCCACGTTCACAGTGTGGTTCCAGTCCTCTGAGCCACCCAGGGCTGCTTGTGGTTTGTACTGCTCCATGATCTGGAGGCAGCACTGCTGCAGGTACAGAGATATCTGGTAATGATACTTCCATATTTGCTCTCTCTTCCAAACACTGTTGCGCAAAGCTTAGGTATTTCTGCTTGAATGTTAAACATTTTGTCAAATTCCTATAAGTCTTTTCTAGATTTTCATCATTATGAGAAAAAAAAAACCCTTCAAACTGGAAAAAATCCATATCCTGAATTGTTCAACTCCTTAATAAGGCTACTTCATTCAATCATTTATTTGTGATATTGATTTCTTTTCCATGTATCTTGTCAATGATGCAGCCTATAAATATTTTTTTAGTGGTTTCCTGAATTACTAATGTCTATTATTATTTCTCTAGTGACTCTGGTGTTCTTTCCATCAGCTTAAAGGAAACAATTTATGTACTCATTTTATTGGTCTCATTTTTTTCTCCATTTTTTATTTAAATTAGAAACAAGATTGTTTTACATATCAGTTCCCTTTCCCTCCCCTCCTCCCCTGTCCCCCACTAACACCCTACCTATCTCATACCATTTCTGCTCTCCAGGGAGAATGAGGCCTTTAATGGAAGGGGTCTTCAGAGTCTGTCCTGAAGTCCTATCCTTTGGGATAGGGCCTAGAACCTCCCCCATGTGTCTAGGCTCAGGGAGTATCCCTCTTTGTGGAATGGGCTCCCAAAGACCATTTCTATGCTAGGAATAAGTACTGATATACTACAAGAGGCTCCATAGATTTCTGAGGCATCCTCACTGGCACCCACATTCATGGGGTCTGGATCAGTTCCATGCTGATTTCCCAGTGATCAGTCTGGGGGACAAGAGTTTCCACTTGTGCTGGTCAGCTGTTTCTGTGGGTTTCACCAGTCTTGTCTTGACCTCTTTGCTCATCACTCCTTCTCTGCAACTGGAGTTCAGTTCAGTTCAGTTCAGTTCAGTTCAGTTCAGTTCAGTTCAGTTCAGTTCAGTTCAGTTCAGTTCAGTTCAGTTCAGTTCAGTTCAGTTCAGTTCAGTTCAGTTCAGTTCAGTTCAGTTCAGTTCAGTTCAGTTCAGTTCAGTATTTAGCTGTGGTTATCTGCTTCTACTTCCACCAGCTGCTGCATGAAGGCTCTATGATGGCATATAAGCTAATCATCAATCTCATTATCAGGGGAGGGCATTTAAGGTATCCTCTCCAATGTTGATTAGATAGTTAGTTGGTGTCATCTTTGTAGCTCTCCAGACATTTCCCTAGTGCCTGATTTCTCTTTAAACCTATACTGGCTCCGTCTCTGATGGTATCTCTTATTTTGCTCTCCTCTATTCTTCCCCCTACAAAGCTTCCTGCTCCCTATGTCCTGCTCACCTCTCCACTTCTCCCCTTCTCATTCTCCTAGATCTCCCTCCCTTCCCACCATGCTCCCAATTTGCTCAGGATATCTTGTTCCTTTCCCCTTCTCTAGGGGACCATGTATGTCTCTCTTAGAGTCCTCTTTGTTGCCTAGCTTCTCTAGTGGTATGGATTGTAGGCTGGTAATCCTTTCCTTATATCTTCAGAAGTTGTATTGATTTAGGTGTCATCAGATCATGGCATCATAACTTACCAATAATCTTATTTGGATTTTATGTTATTTTCTCCCTCTCCTCCCCATTCCTTCCATTCCTTCTCCAAATAGTCTTCATCCTGTTTTTTCTGACACATATAAATATGTGCATTTCCGTGTTTGTGTATGTGCATTCACATAGTTATTCCATATATGTTGGCACACCTCTACTCTGGTACTTAGTTGTACACTTACTTTCTTATCATAGAAAGTAAGATAGATAGATAGATAGATAGATTCTCTAAATGAGAAAAAATAGTGGTATTTTTCTTTCCAAATTTTCCCTATTGTTCTTAATGAATGGTCTCCTCTTCTGTTCAAAACACTCAATGAACTATTCCACCTGGAACCTGATTCACATGTGAAGTGTGTAGACAGATGTGATAAGCTGTAGCAGACACTGGTCAGAGAAGTATGGGTCCAATCTGAAGGAAAGAAAGAAGAGACTCACGAGTTTTAGTCCAAGTACTCTTATGAAATGTCACTGAAGGCACTTTAGCCATACCTCTGTACCTGGTCTCAAACTCCTCCCTGCTCCTTATCTGTTCTGTGTTTTGAAACTTCTCTACTGTATTTGAACTTTATCCACACTATGGAGTTGAAGGTGAACTAGGTTATTTCCCTAATGTGTTTTAGCTCTACGATTTTTTGTAACTTGATTTCTCTCTGTGTGTTGTTATAGGGAACAACGGTAATAACATCACTGTCATCAGTGCTGCATGACAGCAAGGAATTCCCCAACCCAGAGGTATTTGACCCTGGACATTTTCTAGATAAGGATGGAAACTTTAAGAAAAGTGACTACTTCGTGCCCTTTTCAACAGGTAAGAGAAATTCATTTACATGGATCCAGTGACATGAGAATCTGTGGAAGCTTACATAGTGGCTCCCTAATGGCCAGCAGACTTGCAATGATCAATGGTATTACTTTCAGTTCATGCATTGTCATGAAAAGGAGATTCCTTCCCTGTCAGGGTATGAAAGTGAGGCTTTGATTGATTATCCATAGTTCAAATTTGAGAAAGCTGGAGTGTAGACTATTTGTTTTCTTTCTTTAGTTACATCAAGGAAATACCAAAGAAAGCCAACTTCATTTATACTTTTCTCACTCACCATGAAAATGGAGACATCATAACAAACATTCATGTCTATTTTGCTGTGTCAATCACTTTCTTACTCAACTCTGTAATTACAAGTTTCCAAAATACAGACAATTCTTAAAAGCCTCAAGTGCCCTTGGTAAACACCTGAATAAACAATATTTATCAAATACCAATTGGACTAGGGCAATGAAAAAGCCTCCCAGATCTCTGGGTTATTAGGGATAAATTAGCATATTTATCTCTCAAACCTTATGTATTAATGGAAAAATGTAGCAACATTCTAATACAAGACTTCTTTGCTGCCTCAAAAGGCATGGGTAACAGAGAATTTTAAGAAGAAATCACATATAATTAAAAGACGGTCATGAACCATTAGGTCAGAACATTTTTGCAAAGTTCAGATTGCCAGAAGCTTCAAGGTCATCATGAGATGATGGACATATTATCAATGTGACAGGACACTCTGCACAGATGATTGAGAACCCTGTTCCTTCTCATTCAGGGTGAGAGTAAGGGATATTGAGTCAACATCGTCAGTGTGCATGCTGCCTTTGTATGTGTAGCTTCTGTCCTTGGTTTGGTTATTTTTGATAATGAACACAGAATCCCTATTCCCCAGTCTCCAAGGCAGTATGATTACACATGTGAACTACCCTACCTAGCTAAATAGTATTTTTGAACTATGTATTCCTTAATAGTGTAGGGTAATTGAGCAAAAAATTTGTTCCCCATTTTTCTTTTTGCCTAGTTGTCTGTCCTTTCATGTAGCCATCCTTCTACCAACACATCCAATAACTTACCCATCATTCATAGCCTCTTGTGTCAGTTACAAGTACAGTGATTCTCATATTTACAAATGAGAATAATAATCTTTTTAAATCCCCATCCCCCAGGAAAACGGATGTGTGCAGGAGAAGGCCTGGCACGCATGGAGCTGTGTAAGACTAATGTCTCTTTATTCAAGAAGACACCAAGGCAAAACACAGGCCAGAGCTAGGTTATAGAACCCAGCAAGTGCAGCCAGAACAAAAAGGGGACAGAGTCCCCACGTGCAGCCCCTTAAGAAGCTCCCTTATGTCACCCCGGCTTTCCTTCACCATGCCCTTCTGGGCGAGTCCCGGGTCCACCTGGTACCTGTCCCAGGACTATTGGGCGGGGCTAGGGTGTCTCCCTACAATTCCCCTTTTAGTCTAAATGAGGATTAAAACTTAATAGTGTAAAATATCCAAAACTAACAATCATAAGGGTGAAATACAAGAAGATACAATAATCTGCTATGGTACATGCTATGTCTATTCTAGCTAAGTCTTAAAGTCATGTGGAAAAAGTGTCTAACTTGAACACCTCCTTCCAATCCCAACTCTAAACAATAAGAAGGTCATTCTTAACTAGACTTACACTACCCTAATACACAATAATGGGGAATGGG